CCTTCTACAGAACCAAGTATTTGTTGCTTCAAGTCTCTTCTTCATCTGTGTGGAGATTGTCCAGCATTCATTGCCATGATATTATGTAGCCATTCAGTGGTCTTTTCTTTTTTTAAAATGAAGTTTTCTTGTTTCTTAATACTTTGCTTAATTTTTGGATGGTATCTTTCACTATCTCATTATACCTTCAGATTTCAGTGTTTCACTTTCTATCCTCTGTTTAAACACTTCCCAAATAGTTAAATTATTTAAATTTTCAGACCATGATATTCTCAGCAGTTCTTCTGTAGAACCAGATTTCTGTTTCTTCAAGTCTATTCTTCATCTGTGAGGCCTTTGTCCAGCATTCACTGCCATAAAGTAGAACTGATATTACATAACAGTTCAGTACTCGTTTCTTTGTTTTTAAAGAAATTTTTAGTACAAAATAAAAGAAAACAGAGATTGGAAAATTGCATTGCATCAGTGAGGAAAGCCTGTTTAATTTGAAAATTAGTATTCTGATTTTTATCGGACATATATCTTACTTATTATAAAACGCATATTGTGTGTATGTGTGTCTGTACGTTTATATATTGGATCGGATTTCCTACATTTTTCAACCGATTTCAACAAAACTTCACAGGACTGCGTAAAATTACCTTGCGGTGGTTCTGACAGCACCAAAAATTGGAAAAACACAATTGTTTTTGCATGAATCAATTTGAAAACATGATAAAACATGAATCTGTCGCCAGAATGAAAGGGGGACAACTCATATCAAGTTATACTTATTATAAAACCCAGGTTGTTTGTTTGTGTGTGTGTGTGTGTGTGTGTGTGTGTGTTCATTTATATATGGGATCAGATTTCCTACATTTTTCAACTGATTTCAACAAAACTTCACTTTTTTTTGGCAGGTAGTGTTTCTTATTGTCTTGCACACTTTTTTCTTTATTTTTACATTCAGAATGCTTTAAAAATTCCATTTACAAGACAATTGTTTATAATAAAATACTATTCAATCGATAGACTCATAGCGATTGAAAACAATGTTTTTGTTTGAGTTTGGGTTTGACCAATTCGTAAAAAAAAAAAAACAAACTAATTAAGACAACCTTAAACAATAATTTTTGTCAATTTTATTTTTCAGTTTTTATGATGGTTGATACTTGATCTATCTGTTACATCCCCTGGCAATGCCGGGCTCTACTGCTAGTCTGAAATAATTTCAAAATGATTAAATTCAAGTTACTTGCTTTTATTCCCCACAAGATAATCCAGAACTGCATATCTTCAACAGTAACTTAGTCAACAAACCAACACAATACTCTGTACATTATTCCTACACTCCATTTGAACTCCACTGTGTTTGTCAGTCATCAAAGAGTTACTTCCCTTTTATTGGGTTTTCCCAATATCAACCAATAGCACGGATGGAAAATATAAAACTATTTCAGCCATCAAGCAGGCCAATGTTTTTTAACATCAAATCATCACTGATGAATAAAGCATTTGTTTGTATAAGAATTTTTTTTTCTATGGAAATAAGTCACATAAGTGAGAGATAAATCAATCCGTACTAGACACTGAGTTTTTTTTTTTTATCTCCAACATTAGAGAGTAATTATTTCATTTTACAATGAACAAAATTCATAAGAATGAAAGAAATGACAACAAAGATATTTTTCAACTTTCTTATATTTTCAATTATATTGAGGGGATTGATTTATTTTTTTATGACTTATCAACCCTTTGAGGTTTATTTCAGTTTATCACAGCTTCAGTCACTTTTCCACCAACATAATGTGGCCATTCTATAATATTCCTGGTAATATTTTTGATGAGCTTTCCTCTATGATACATTGACTTTATAAATTTAAACACACTACTTTCAGCATCATGCTTTCCTGTCAACTTTAATCTTCAAAAATTTAAATGTAATATCAATCATTCTCCTGATTACTTTTCTTTTGTTCTCGCTCCTTAGTAATGTTCCTGTTTTCTTAATTCTTCTACACCCGGTAACCCCTTGTGTCTTAGTAGCTTTACTGCCTTGTATAGGGTTAACTTGATTAAAAAAAAAATTACCTGTGACCAGCAGATGTTAATTTAGCTATCTTGCTGGCATTTAAACTAATAACCATTTTATGAAGATTTTTTAAGGACACAATTTCATGCAACTGCAAAGTTGCAACTCTCTTTTGCAGGTTCATGAAGATTTTGGGAAACTAAAAAGGAAAGGAGGGTTGCATTTCTGACCCCAGTACATATTCTTTGACCTTTTTTTCTATTTCTATGTAGCAGCAACTCCTCATTACCACTATTTCATTTTCTTTTTAGGTTGGTCTGTGCAAGGAGTTCATTAAAGTCAGTATAATTCACTCTAGCCGCTGGTCAAATTAACTGAGATATTTACTAAATTTTGGTTAGTCTGGCACAGGGCCAAGCAGGAAAATTGTGTTTTTTGTTAATCTTTCAAAATGGGAGAGTCTGCTTATTTGCTTTGAAAGGCAACATTTGAAATCTGAGGCTTGAATAGTTGAAAATTCACAAATGTATTAGTTACTTTAACAACTAACCTGACCAAATTTTAATTACTAATATTCCAGATATTACTTTGAAATCTTCACATTCAGCCTTACATTGCATATTAACATTTATCACTGTATGTGACTTTATTTGTTGTATAAAAGTTCATCCTGCATCTGAAAGTGACTGCTCCATAAACAGTTTCATAGTTGTGTTGTCATATCCTGCTATGGCAACAGAAAACACCTTTGAATGAAATTAACAATATGGATATTGCAACTAAGAGGCCTTGAAAAGGAATGCAGTAGAAAGGGAAGTAATATTAATAATGCAGAGTGTTAAAGGTTAATACCATGAAAGGTGCACTGTATTTTATTACACAAGATTTTAGCCAAACAAAATGAGGAAACCAATTTGAATAAATCAATGGATAATAATGATAATTTCTCCTGTCTGAAATCCTGACAGAAACTGTTAAGTATTTATTAAATAGTTTAACTCATTAGATATTTATATTCATGATTGTGGATATGAAAATTTTAGCCAAATTGCAGGTACCTGCCAATGTCGATATTGAGAAAAGAGGTTTAAGAAACAGAATAACACATTTCATAATCCTTTTGTGGGATACGCATCTATTCATAATACCCAGTCTACTGATTTTTAACTTTTGAACATTTTTTGATAGATTTTGGTAAACCACTAAAATATAAAATTCTATCTCATTCGTTTTTGGTTCCTGTGAAAAAATATTGTTTAATTTTTTTACAAAAGTTAAAGTATCAATAAAACAAACTTTGAAAAATAACAAATACATTTGAATTCAGGAAAAAAAATATACCTACATAAGTTTCAAGCATGTATAAAACAGAATAAATGTGGAAACAGTTGGAGAATTGTTCAACCAAAATATTATGAAAAACAAACATGAAAATAATAGTCAAAGTCTTGCTACTCAGAGATAAATGATTTTGATAAAAGAGTTTGTGATGCTGAAAATAATTCTGAATTTAAGGATAATAGTTCAGACTGCATTGTAATATAATTTCTAAAAGTGGAATATATAATTCTGTCATTTAAACATGCCAATTAAATTAACGTTTAACTTATTCTTTATATTAAAATTTCAAACACATCCTTTGTTATTCCTGAGAGTTAATGGGCTTCATAATTCTTTTTACAATGTTCAGACTGTTGTCATCATCTTTATTGCCATATTCACAATGTTTTGTCCATTGTACACTCTGACCTTCAGGTGATATGTTGAAATTTTGAACCAAACCCTTTATTTTGTCCACGGGTGTAAATTGTTCTGGTTTCATGTGCTATGCCTTTTCTGGATATCTTCATTTCAGTTATTTCCCTTTAGTAACTCTCCAAGATTTTGTTCACCTCTGCTGTGGCCAGGTATTGGGTCAAGTCACTTGATTACTTCAACCAATGTTTTTATTCACTGTGCTGAAACATCATCAACAATATAAATAGTTACAATACCTCATCTCAGAAATACAGACAAATGTCCATCATTCTTGTGTTTTATTAATCTTTTTAAAAATGAATACAAAATGACTGACCCTGTATCATAAGAAATAGTCTGACAATTCTAAACATCATTTTTGTTTTCACCAAAGACTGATGATGTTTTTAACCTTTAGTACTCTGCATTATTAATATTATTTCCTTTTACACTTCATTCTTTTTCAAGGCTATTACAGTATCCTTATTGTTAATTTCACTTAAAGTTGTTATCTGTTACCATAGCAGTATATGACATCACAACTATGAAATTCAAACACACTATTGTTCAGGGATCAGAGTCACCTTCAGTGGCAGGATAAACATTTTGTACAGCAAACAAAGTCATATACAGAGTGATAAAGGTTAAATATTATACTCATCTTAAGTGTTTTTCATAGTGGCTTGTTAATACCCCAATCTTCAACAGGTGAATGTGACATCTTGTATATAATATATTAATGCAATATATTAGATGTTAATGCTGTATACTTTTAAATTATTAACTGGATACTAATACATTTAAATAGGAGACCTGATTAGTCAAAATGTTGAAGAAAAAAATCGCTAAAGGATAAAGATTAACTTTCAGCTTACAAAGCATTTTGACTGCAAAATATACTTCAAACTCTTTGGTTTGAAAAAAAATTAAAATATTCATATTCTATTTGAAAACTCTTTTTAGGGAATATTTTAGAAGCACATACTTCACTGATTTTATTAACTCCCAATAAATTGGTTAATTTCTTAGTAAATCATTAAAAAAAAATAAAAAAATGATATATGATTTCAAGTTTGTAAATTATTTGCGTAAAGCTCTTAAATTTGTTTAACTTAATGATTTTATGTGAAAAAAAAAAATTTACAAACACCTTGTGATATTATTTGCAGACCCCAAATAATTAAGGTTGCTTGATATACAACAGAGAAAGTAAATTATGAGTGAGTAAGAGAGGAGAGTGAGGAAAAATCACCTTCAGCATGTATCACACATGTAGCTGTGCTGGATCCATTCTCATTTCTTGCCGTTGCAGTAACAGTGAAAGTTCCATGATGAGTGTACATATGACTCAACTGATTTGATAGAACTGTTGGACCAGTGTAATACTTGATGGTACCATCTCCAAAGTCAACTGTATAGTTGGTTGTCAGTACTGAGCCCTAGTAGAAGAGGTAAATGGGAAAGACTATTAGTCCAAAAATTCAAATGAAACAAAAAAGTTAACATGAACAGAAAATCAAACAAGTAAAATATACTGTTGCAGATTTGAATCAACCTGCAACAAAGAAAAAGCTGGGAAAGTTTTTAAATATAGAAATATAAATTTTTTTATTTTTGTGTTTTTACAATTAAATTTTTCTTAGTGTGTATGAGCTCTTATAGTCCTTGTTTGTAGCTGCTTGTTAAGATGAAAAGAAATGTTTCCTTTACGTGTATGTTTGAGAAAAAAGAGGCAAGGGAGGAAATGAGGAAGTGTAAGTGTTATGTAGTTTGGTGAGAAAGAGCATATGTGTTATGTAGTTTGGTGAGGAAGAATGTAAATGTCACATAACTTGGTGAGGAAGAGTACATGTCACATAGCTTAGTGAGGAAGAATGTACGCATCATGTAGCTTGGTGAGGAAAAGTGTAAGTGTCACATAGCTTGGTGAAGAAAAAAGGTGAATGAATAAGGAAATTTTCTTTTAAGTCACACCATTGTGCTTTTGCCACATATATCTCTTTACTGTATTGTCTGGTTTAGAAACTTGGCTTATATATTCTTCAAAGGGATCATGAAGCATGTTTTTTTTTTTTTTTTTTTTATTGTTGGTGGGAATGCAAGCCATTGTCTGAAAAATGTTAAATATTTATTTTCAAAGGATTAATTTATTAACCGGATGATGTGCAGATTCTCTGACTCAGAAACCATATTTTTGTCATTTGATGATTGACTGTCTTGCTCTCCATTTCTGTCTCTGCTCCACAATATAAATAAAAAAGATTTCTATTTTATTATATACATAAAGTATAACATTCACACATAAAATACACTTTAAGACGATCAATATTTGATTAACAAACAAGAAAGTGTTGTTAATTTTGTTGATATTCTGATGGTTATTCACATAAAGATGATCCAAAGCAGTTAACAATCAAAAGAAATGGGCTTTTGCAATGTTGGTGAGATAACATACAAAATAAACCTTTATAGATTTTTCTAAAGGTTAGACATTTTGATTTTATTTTTCCTACCATAAGTGTACTTTAAGGAGCTAATTAAACAAGGTATTTCACAGGACAATAGCCTAGTTGATTAAAGCATTGGTTTGTGAATTTGGTAACATAGTAATCGTGAGTTCAATCCTTGAGCTATGCAATGCATACTTGGATTTGGTAGAAATAGGGAGAGCAATATCTGAGCAATACTAAATAACAACTAAACAAGATATTCCAAGACATGGGCAATTGAAGAATAACAATATATCCTCATAGATTAAATAAAAGGTTCAGTTTGAAATTACCTATGTGGCTAGGCATCTTTGCTTCAATCACTTCCTCAATGCTGTAATGTAGTTTCCTTGTGCTTTTTCTATATTTTCATAGTAATTATTATGACAAGCTTTCCTCTTTGGTATCAAGACTTTATGAATTCAAGTGCAGTACTAGATTGGCAGCTAGGTCTCATCATTTTACAGTTGAAATGGCTAGATGTAACTAAGTTCTATGCTAATAGTTTCTTCTATAACAAATCTCACTTGTGGAACTCTTTTCCAGGTTTTGCTGGAAAACAAGAAACTAGAAAAGAGTTCCACAAGTCAGATGTTACCAGTCAACTTTGATCTTCAAAAATTTAGATGCAATGTCAATTGCTATCTTCTCTCTTCTTAATTTCTCTTCTTTTATTGTTCACTCTCCTTAATAGTGTTTTTCTCGTATTCTTTCACACTCAGTAGCTCCTTGCGTCTTAGTAGATTTATTACCTTGCTTGGGCTGAAATGATTAAATGCAATGTCAATTGTTATCTTCTGTCTTCTTAGTTTCTCTTCTTTTATTGTTCTCTCTCTTTCATAATATTAGTGGCTTTATTGCTTTGTTTGGTGTGAAATGAGTAAAAAAAACATTTGAAGCTGAGACATATTTTCGGATTATAAGAATTAATTTTTGGGGGGGAAGTGTATATAGCATTAGCAATATTTTGAGAATTTACAGATACAGGACCTAGTATTTAATTCTAGTGGGAGGAGACAGATTCATACCTTTCCCTAGGAAGTTTGTAAAATTGCATAACTCTCTTCAGTTTAAACTATTCTTTTTGTAGGGTACTGTTAATAATCTTTGTATAAAAATGCTTACAAGATACAAAAGATTAAGCAATTAAATAGCGGGTAGCATTTATTTTAAGGGCTTGTATAGCAAGATCATTTATTTTTATATACTGGGTGTAACAGCAAAATTGTTCAAATTGGGTAATAGCATAATTGTCCATCCCACAAAATGTTTAATATCTAAAAAAAAATGCAAAACTAATTCTTTCTTTTTCCAAGGTTTTCAGATAAGACATAAGACATCTTGATAACATTTGTCATAAGAATCACTGAAAAGTTGAATTATTCAGCTAGAAAGAGAACAGGTTAAAATCATTTTGTGTCAGCCCCACTGTCTTTCCAACTGAGCAATAGTAAGAGGAAAAAGATCATTTAGGCCTTTAGTAATGGTACGAACATTCATACTGTAGCTTCCATCTTCAAAGTCCATTCAAGAACCATCAAGAGAATGGTGAATAAAGAAGGAACAGTAGAAAGGAAAACTGGATCAGGATCAGGTCACAACAGGAAGAGGGATCATCATTTCAACTTGAAGCTAAAGAGATCAATTAGAAAAGATCCAACTCAATCCATAAGATGCTTGGCACATTAGAGAGGAGTTTCAGCTATGACAGTCCACAGAGCAGTGAAAAAAACACTTGAAAATGAAGTCATATGTGAAACCTGTGAGGCACCTTGTTAACCAGGACAAAAATTTAGATGGTTAGAGAGGGTGAGGATCATCTTGAATAAGTTGAAAAATGATCCTGGAATAATATATATATATATATATATATATATATATATATTTGAACTTTATTTCAATCCTTCATGAGCTTCTAATCCTTAACTATGATTAATTAATGATGAATATGTCATTTTTGTTTATGGTAGATTTCATCACAATACTTTTGTTTATGGTAGATTTCATCACAATACTTTTGTTAAGCTCAGAGAGTAATTATACTTTCTTATTGCTCAAAGTAGAGTCCAATAGTGTTGTAAAAAACCTTGGAGAATTCCAGTAAGATATCTTTAATCATTTCTAAGATACAATGGTTCAAAGTTTAATCTAATAAATGGACAAGTTTGCTGTTACACCTGGTATAATGTCAGCTGCAAGCCCCAGTGGGTTTAATATTTTATTCTTTTGTATGCATTCAAAGTTTAATCAATTAGCATGCTTAATTTGAAGCTGAAGCAATACAAAGATGTTAATGAAAGTTGCAAGATTCCGATTAGAAAAATTCTCCTTAAATGCAATGCTAATCTTTATCTTAATTCCTTTTCTTTTATTGTTCTTTCTCCATAATAATGCTTTCTTTTTCTCATATTCTATCACACTCAGTAGCATCTTAGTGGCTTTATTGTCTTGCTTGGGGTGAAATGATTAAAAAAAGACAACAACAAAGATGTGGACAATCGTTCACATGTAATTAATGTAAATAAAGACATGACATTTTTATATAAGATACTATACTAACAAATTTTGAAATGTGACATCCAAAAGGGTTTACATGATAAGAAATATTATTAAACTATACTGGATAAAATTGGTTTATTTCTTATGAATCACTGGATTGGTTTGGCTTGTTTTGTTTTATGGTATATCAACCATAATGAGTTATTTAATGCCAACAAGACTTTTATTGCTGGTAATATTTTTCAAAAATGTGTCACTGGGAATAATGTGTTGTTGGTTATAAATTTTTTTACAAAATGTATTGCTGGTAGAAAAACCTATTTTTACACTTTCATAGCGTTAGTTTTGGGTTAACTATTTGTCCAAAGCTGGGACCCTAACAGGTGCTACTACTCTGGGTCAAGGTGGACCTGGGAACACCAGCAATTAAGAGGTGGTTCCATGCTCCTCAAAACTTCCTGATCAGAGGCCTTGCTGTTAGATGTAGTTTATCATCTAACCCATTTGTTGGGAGGGGGTACCTCTCTGTAGAGGTACAGTCAGCCCCAGCCAACAGGGCTGAATCACCAGAGATCTTTGAGCATAACTAATCAATTAACTGCTATTTAAAATGGAAAAGTTATCTTTATCCCTTAATAGTTAATATGCTTGAAACATATTCTGATGTAGACATTACTTGTTGAGTTTGCAATATATCTTATTTTCCTATTAAGTTCATTTTCCAATCTCAATAGAGTCCAAAAGCATTTCAGAGCCCTTGTAGCTGACAAATTATTTTCCACCTTCCAACCTCTCACTATCACCATGGAAAGTGCAGAGATGAACTGCATTTCTTGCTTCTGCCATGTTTAACCTTCACAGCCAAGACCCATCATGCCAATCCCATTGTAGCAAACCACCCACATTCCCTCTGTATTCCATTGGCGAGAAGTAAGTTCCACTTGAACAGCTTCTTCTTATGAACCACTGCTCTGTGGAACTGACTCACAAGAGGATGTTTCCTTGATCACTACAATGTTAACCTGTTCAAATCTAGGGTTAACTGTTATCTTCCACAGCTTCTGACTGTAACCCTCTATCATGAGTCACCCTTGGGCATTGTACAAGGTGAACCACACTGTAAAAAAAAAAAAAAACCTAGTCTAGGCTATATGAAGACATGTGTCTGAGTTGCTGCTTTGATACAGAGAAAGAATTCATATCCATTAATATTGATGCAGCTGTATCAAGCAAAAGTGAAATTTGGAGAGTTTGTTCCTGAACAAGAGAAGAAGAGCAACCCCAATGTAAATAATAATAATAGAGAAGAAAATAAAAAGCAGGAATTACTTGATTCATTTCCAATAGAGTTGACAAAAGCTGAGGAGTGGAGAGATACAAAAGTAAATATAGTCAGGGATATTGTCAAAGCTAAAAATGCTCCAAGGTGTGGAATGAAGCCACTGGAGAGA